AAGTCAAACTGGTGATGTTATTAAATTTTAGCTCAGTGAAAACCTCTTTTACTTAGCCATATTTTTATCACACACAACAGTCATTTCAAGAAACCTTCCACAAGTCTGTTTCACAGTCCTCTGCTGTGGGTCATGGACCTTGTCAGTGCAACTGATAGAATTTTCTCTCTAATGACAGCTGATGAAATACCAGCTCAACTGTACATTTTTATATGAAAAGTCTTGATCACATGCTATATTCAACATTTCACTTTATTTGCGCTGCTTGCATTTTTTTTTTTACTAGATGCTTTATCTTTTTGAGTATCTTTGACTGGAAAATAATTATTTTCAAAGTTGTAATATTTTAGAAACTGCTTGAATATACCACTGACAGTGAATCTATTAATGCATGCTGTCACCTTGTGTCAAATCACAGCAGGTATTTAGATTTATATTCTAATACCTGTTTAGCATTCCAGTTTGCCAATACAGTGATATGAGTCTAGCCCAGGGGTGGGCAAACCTTTTGACTTGAGGGCCGCAATGGGTTCATATATTGGACCCGGGGGCCGGACCAAGAGTAGATGAATGATGTGTATGTGTGAATTAATATAAATTAAATTAAAATTTGTAACATTAAATGTTTAGATTAATTTAAGGTAGAAAAGCATAAAAAGAGTTATTTTACAAAACTTTTATGCAATGTATTTCTTTCATAAAATAGTGCCTTCAATTTTAGTGGGAACAGTGTTGTTGGTCTCCCTTTTTTGTTAAGGCATCAAAGTCAGGAGTTAGTTTTGTTGTTGCAATTCGCAGAATAGATCTGAGGTGTTGGTCAGTTAACTGGGATCCCCATATAGTAATTCATCCCCCATAGTAATTCATCCCCCATAGTAATTCATCCCCCATATAGTAATTCATCCCCCCTATAGTAATTCATCCCCCATATTAATTCATCCCTCATATAGTATTTCATCCCCCATAGTACTATTCCCCCCAAGTAGTAAGCCAAGTCCCCCCTGTGTCAATTTACTTACCTTTGCTCCGAGCGTTCCTCTCGCCGTGTTCCTGCGCCGTTCCGGTCTTCAGGGCGGACTGTGAGAGGAGCCTAGCTCCCCTCACGTTCGTCACGCTGCCCCGCCTACACACATCCTGACAGCCAATGTTTGCCTGCCCTGGCTGTTTTTTTTTTTATCACGCTCCGCGGGCTGGATTAAAAGGTCCGCCGGGCCGTATACGGCCCGCGGGCCGTAGTTTGCCCATTGCTGGTCTAGCCCAAAGTTTTTATGGAGCCACTGCTAAAGATTGACCAGAAATTGTGGCCAGTCCCTGGAGTGCTACTATAGTGTACGCAATTAAATTCCAGTTCATCAAGCTGTTTATAAGAATTCAACAGATGTGCTGCTTGTCTCTAATATGTCCTAAATTCAACAAGTGATGAGTCTCTTTAAATAAAACATAAGACTACACATTTTGCTGCTATATACATTTGCACTGGATATTGGGCAATAGAAAAGGATCTTTACTGGTATAAATTGAACCGATGTGTAGTGAACCATAGGGTTCACAGGTAATCTTTCAATAGTCTTCTCTCAGTGGAAAGCTGATCAATACAGTTGTCAAAGAAAACAGCACATGCAATATGCTTTCATCTACATTCGTTTATTACAAGGAACTTTTTTTTTTTTTTAAAGTGTAAGACATAGATCCCTGTCACTTTCTACTCTGGTTGGTGGTCCAGTTGGAGAGATTTCTTCTAACTTCCTGTCAAAACAGCAAGCCATAAGAAATTTCTCCAGTGCAGACGTGGGCTGGAATATATATAAAGTGAAGTGATGGATACTGCTCAAACGATCCCAGAAGTCCAATGTTAAGGCATGGCCTGAGCAGCCATTCTGAACGTGCCCTCTGATGCATTTCACCCCACCTGCTGGGGGGGGTGAAATGCATCAGAGGGACTGGCCAGAACGGCGGCTGAGGCCATTCCTTAACGTTCCTTAACAGTGGTTTCCTGGGGTCGGTTGAGCAGCATTCATTCCTTCACTTGTATTGGCTGACACTGGAATCGCTCGGATTCATGCTCCCCTCTTCTCACTTGCTGGTGGGGTGATCTTTTTCCTTCCATCCACAGCTTGGAGTGGAGCCATAAGGTATACTTTTCACTGGAATATATATAATTTTTCTTTAGAAAACTGGAAGAGTAGAACCTCAGTAATTATTATTGTCTTTATCTTCATGTCTTCATGACAACTGGTGACAACTGTTCCCCTCATTTCTTATCCTGTTACTGTCCCTATGACACCAGGACAACAGATTTAAAAGAAAAAAGAGTAAGGAAGTATTTTCTGTTTGTAAGCTACACAAACTGAAAAAATTGTATGAATTGGGCCAATAGCATTAGCTCTTCATCGGGTGTTAAAGAGCTACTCATTTGCATATGACGACTTAATGCCACTTCAAAGTGCTCTGATTTTTATTTGTGTATTCTCAATGGACAACTGTGCTCTGACGAATGGCAAGACTTTTCTCTATAAATAATACAAAGCATTAATTAAAAAGTCAAGGCCCATTTTTAGTTTTGCTCTTAGACATATTTATAGATGTAAAGACCATGTTGTAAAGAGAAAACAAACAAACAAAAAAAACATTAAATGTGTGCTGGACAGAGACTTAGTGAAGCAATTAAAGTGGTTGTAAAGACTCAAGGTTTTTTTACCTTTATGCATATAGGTAAAAAAACCTTCTCTGTGCAGCAGCTCCCTCAGCCTCCCCTAATACTCACCTAAGCCTCCTCTCAATCCAGCGATGTGTACTGGAGTCTCTGCAATCCTGGGACTCCCTCCCCTCATTGGCTGAGACAGCAGTGGAAGCCATTGGCTCCCACTGCTGTCAATCACAGCCAGTGAGCCAATGAGAAGAGAGGGGGCCAAACTGTAGCTTCGTGTGTGAATGGACACACGGAGCTGCTTGCTGTGGGGGCTCCCAGCAGGAAAGAGGTGCCAGGAGCGCCAGTGGGGAACCCAATTAGAGAAGGATCCGGGCTGTTCTGTGCAAAACCACTGCAGAGAGCAGGTAAGTATGGTGTGTTTGTCATTTTTTTTTAAATGTAATACGACTTTAAATAAAAGTTAGATGGCCAATACTACTAAAAAAATGAAGTATAGGGTAACATTTTGCCTTCTGTCTGATTATGAAGATGAATAAAACTGAGAAATCATTTATGTCATTATCAGAATGAAGCAAATAAATAAAACTTACATCACCAATCAATACTGCTATTAAAATGGAGGACAGAGAAACATGTTACCTTCTGTCTGAAGATGAGAAGAATAAAACTGAGAAACCATTTATGTCATTGTCAATTCCTCCATGTCAGTGTACAATGTATCAATTTTATTTTACATAAAAATGAGCCATCTGCCCTGACACCAAAAACAATAGCATCTGGTGGATCAATAACTTGCACTATTTTCACTGATATAATGTCATATTTTTCATTCACCGTCCAACCAAGAAAACTGACACAACAGAACTTTTCAGTTTATTTTTTTTATTATAATAATAAAACAGGTTCCTCTAACCTAACTGAAACAACATTTTAAAACAAGAAGGTGCTTATGTGCTTCGTAAAGTGAACTTGTAAATAATATATATTTACTATCTTTCTGTTTGCTACAATATTTTCATTCTCCTTTGCCCTTGTCTTTTGCTTTGCTATAAATCAACATGGCACTTCAGCACAGCTCAACCTTGGTCACATCACATTTCCTAACACCATACAAATCTGAATGAAAATAAGATTTTACCTACCAACACGAATATATTCTGTGTGTGTGTGTGTGTATATACACACACACATAGAGAGAGAGATAGAATGAACAAGAGAAGAATGTCTCATCATTCATACAAATGCAACAAATAATACCCATAATGTTTGTAATATGCGAGTAATGCCAGTTTCTATTTCATGCCTTTTGCAGGGTGAATATAACATTCCCTAACATTTAAGACTGGTAAAGATGGTATGGATTTTTGGAGGACAACCCCACGCTTTTTTGCACTTGAATTTTGTAAGGGGATGCCACTGAAAATTCCAGTATAGATTTTGAGAGAGAGATATGGTTTTATTAAAATTTTTAGAATATCTTGTTTGCACAAATGTAGCAACTAATACCTGTAATGTTTGTAATATGTATGTAATTCCAGTTTAAATTTGATGCCTTTCATCTGGCGAAGATAAAATTCCCTATCAATCCTAAGAGACTCGTATGGATGGTATGGATTTTTTGGGGGGAACCCCATCCTTTTATTATATTTTTTCTCAGGGGTCCCCCTTAAAAATCCACATTATAAACAGGTATTATTCTTTACATTTGCAAAAATTATAAGGCATTTGGAAGGCTATTTTTTTTATAAATAGAGACCTTAGTATGAAAGACCTCAACACTCCTATATGTATATTTAAAACAACAATATTTTCTAGCCACTGCAATTGAACAGTGAAACAGTGGCATTTGCATTTGTATACTTGTACAGTACAGTGGTGATTATTTTCTGGTGTCAGAAACAATATTTCCATGTCATAATTTCTATACTGCTATGGCTGGATAGACAACAAGCTTGTCTTGCCCGAATGGTTAAAAAAACAAGCAGAAGAAGCACACAGCAAAGCTGCCCAATATTAAGACTTCATAACAGGCTTCAGCTTTTCCTTCTCCCAGACCGTAACTCCTAATCACATTTCACCAACACCTGGGCTCTACAACTAAGCCTAGTAGAGGAGCATGGTCTGGGAAGAGGAAAAGTTGAAGCCTGTTTTTTAAGTCTTAGAATTGGGCAGTTTTAGTGTGTGCTCCTATCTTCTGCTTGTTTTCTATCCTTTCTAGACAGATGTGTCTTTTTGGAGCTACACCCACCAACAAGGTACTTTCAGTGAGTCAATCACTGATAAGCCAGACTTCTTGGTACTCCCTCCATTAGCAGGTGATCTCTGGAACAGGGGCGGACTGAAAACTCATGGGGCCCCCCGGGCAATAGGGGATCATGGGGCCCCTGTGTCCTTGCCCAAACTCAAAAAAGCCTATGAAAAAGGTACCAGGGGCATCTCATGGGGCCCCCTACTGACCCTGGGCGCTCAGGCAGTTTCCAAATGGTCAGTCCGCCCCTGCTCTGGAATGCAAATATAGAAAAATTCCTCTGCTTAAAGCCCAACTCAAACCAGTTTTGGATATAGTGGGGAAGGGTTATAGCCTCTATGAGGTTTTTATCACCATCTGTTTAGCTTTTGGGCAGTTTTCATAACATTTCCTGTTAGAACAGGGTGACAATAAAAGAGACAGGCAAGGTTAGATTTTTCAGTCCTGGTGACTACCACCACTACATTTATTGTTCTAAGGTTGTGAGCTTCCATTTTCCTAATGAAAGAACAGACAAAAATAAAACAGATATTTCTACCACACCCCCCCACTCTATGCAAGGCTTTACAATGGCTGGAACCCACTGGTAGTTTTTACCCACATCTTTGAGCTGGCTACACTAGCTAATATACATTAATGTCCTAATTAAAAACATGCTAATTGTTTCATTGGAAGCAAGAAAAAAGAGAGACAATTTTACTCACTTTGCAGAATTAGCAAAGAATGCTTATTGCAAAAGGGTCACATGAAAGTAAATCCTCTTTTTTCATTCACAGTGAGTATCAGTTAAAACTGCATTACCATGTATACATTTTTAATGAATTCTGGGGCATACAGTACGTTAGCTCTTGATTTACTTTCTAAGGCTCAGCTGCTCTAAACTACTCATCCACCTCAGGTGATGATTACCTGCGATTAATGCGCTAAGGATATACTTTTAATGTCACATTTCCAAAATTTAGAGGCAAACATGAAGTAAACATGAAACATTAAATCCATACTTTCTTGTTTACAGTGCTGCTAATGAAGTTGTAAATAATTAAATTCTTCCAAGTAATGAAACCTATAAAAACACAGAAAGAAATAATAAATGTTCTGGACATTTTCCATGTTTACTATAAAGTATGCCACACAATTGTAAAACAATATGAAGTGTACATTAGGGATAATATTTATTAAACAATTTTTCATTATGGTTTATATAGGCACATTTAATAGTACAATCAGGTCTATTGCATTTGATCTGTGGTCCCTTATGTCCATTTGTATGTTCGTGTAAGCTGTTAGTGTCAGCTACCCATGTACACCAATCTCCTTATAATTTCTATTTGCTAGCACAATACATTGATGACTCAGACTGCACTAGACACTGTTTATATTGTTAAAATTGAAACTAAATTTTATGATGGGAAAAGCTTAAAGGAAACATTAAAGTGACAAACATGTCATGCTTACCTGCTCCTGAGCCGCTGCTCTGTGTGTCTATTCACACACACAGAGTTGTGGCTCAGCCCCATGTCTCTCCTCATTGGCTCACTGGCTGTGATTGACAGCAGTGGGAGCCAATGGCTCCTGTTGCTGTCCCAGCCAGTGAGAAGGGAGAGTCCCAAGCGAGCAGAGGCTCTTGTGCACATTGCTGGATTGTGATAAGGTAAGTATTAGGGGGGGGGGGGGCTGCTGCCTTGAAGGTTTTTTGCCTTCTGCTCAAAATTACTTTAACCACTTTAAGTATTTTTCTATATATGTTCTAAAAGTAAGGAAAAAATAAATAAATATATATATATATATATATATATATATATATATACACATACACACAGTTAGGTACATATACTGTATATTTGGACACAGGTACAATTTTCATACTTTTGGCTCTGTATGCCACCAGAATAAATTAAATTGAAACAATCCAAATGAAGTTGAAGTGCAGACTTTCAGTTTTAATTCATGGGGTTGAACATAAATATAAAGTACAAATTTTAGGAGCTGCAACCATTTTTATACACAAGTCCCTCCATTTTCAGGGGCTCAGATGTAATTGGACAAATTAATATAGTCATAAATAAAATGTTCATTTTTAATATTTTGTTGAGAATCCTTTACTGGCAATGACTGCCGGAAGTCTGGAACCCATGGACATTACCAAAGACTGAGTTTCCTTCTCTCTGATGCTTTGCCAGGCTCTAATGGCAGCTGCCTTCAGCAAGTGAAATGCATGCTCAATTGGGTTGAGATCAGGTGATTGACTCGGCTATTGCAGAATATTGCACTTCTTTTCCTTCAAAAGCTCATGGGTTGCTTTTGCAGTGTGTTTTGGATCATTGTCCATCTGTACTGTGAAGTGCCATCCAATTAACTTTGCTGCATTTGGCTGAATCTGGGCTGACAGTATACAGGTGAAACTCGAAAAATTAGAATATTGTGCAAAAGTTCATTTATTTCAGTAATGCAACTTAAAAGGTGAAACTAATATATGAGATAGACTCATTACATGCAAAGCAAGATAGTTCAAGTCATGAGTTGTCATAATTGTGATGATTATGGCTTACAGCTCATGAAAACCCCAAATCCACAATCTCAGACAATTTGAATATTGTGAAAAGGTGCAATATTCTAGGCTCAAAGTGTCCTACTCTAATCAGCTAATTAAGCCATAACACTTGCAAAGGGTTCCTGAGCCTTTAAATGGTCTCAGTCTGGTTCAATAGGTATCACAATCATGGGAAAGACTGCTGACCTGACAGTTGTGCAGAAAACCATCATTGACACCCTCCATAAGGAGGGAAAGCCTCAAAAGGTAATTGCAAAAGAAGTTGGATGTTCCCAAAGTGCTCTATCAAAGCACATTAATAGAAAGTTATGTGGAAGGGAAAAGTGTGGAAGAAAAAGGTGCACAAGCAGCAGGGATGACCGCAGTCTGGAGAGCATTGTCAGGAAAAGGCCATTCAAAAGTGTTGGGGACTTTCACAAGGAGTGGACTGAGGCTAGAGTAAGTGCATCAAGATCCACCACACACAGACAAATCCTGGACATGGGCTTCAAATGTCGTATTCATCCTGAACAACAAACAACTTCAGAAGCGTCTTACCTGGGCTAAAGAAAAACAGACCTGGTCTGTTGCTCAGTGGTCCAAAGTCCTCTTTTCTGATGAGAGCAACTTTTGCATCACATTTGAAAACCAAGGACCCCGAGTATGGAGGAAGAATGGAGAGGCACACCCTGCAAGATGCCAGAAGTCCAGTGTGAAGTTTCCACAGTCTGTGTTGCTTTGGGGAGCCATGTCATCTGCTGGTGTCGGTCCACTGTGCTCATTAAGTCTAGGGTCAACACAGCTGTCTACCAGGAGATTTTGGAACACTTCATGCTTCCTTCCACAGACGAGCTTTATGGGGATGCTGACTTCATTTTCCAGCAGGACTTGGCGCCTGCCCACACTGCCAAAAAGCACCAAAACCTGGTTCAATGACCATGGGATTACTGTGCTTGATTGGCCAGCAAACTCGCCTGACCTGAACCCCATAGAGAATCTATTGGGCATTGCCAAGAGAAAGATGAGAGACATGAGACCGAACAACGCAGAAGAGCTGAAGGCCGCTATTGAAGCATCCTGGTCTTCCATAACACCTCAGCAGTGCCACAGGCTGATAGCTTCCATGCCACGCCGCATTGAGGCTGTAATTGCTGGAAAAGGTGCCCAAACCAAGTACTGAGTACATATGCATGCCTATACTTTTCAGAGGTCTGATATTGTTCTATGTACAATCCTTGTTTTATTGATTGCATGTAATATTCTAATTTTCTGGGATTGTGGATTTGGGGTTTTCATGACCTGTAAGCCATAATCATCACAATTATGACAAATCATGGCTTGAACTATCTTGCTTTGCATGTAATGAGTCTATCTCATATATTCGTTTCCCCTTTTAAGTTGCATTACTGAAATAAATGAACTTTTGCACAATATTCTAATTTTTCGAGCTTCACCTGTATATATATATATATATATACAGTTGCAAGAAAAAGTATGTGAACCCCTTGGGATTATGTGGAGTTTTGCATGAATTGGGCATAAAATGTGCTCTGAACGTCATCTAAGTTACAACAATAGAAGAACACAGTCTGCTGAACATAATACTACACAAACATTAGATGCTGCCATGGTTTAATTGCACATAACATGTAAACATTCACAGTGCAGGGAGGAAAAAGTATGTGAGGCCCTAGCTTAATGACTTCTCCCAGAGCTAATTGGAGCCAGGAGTGAGCCAACCTTGACTCCAATCAGTGTGATGATATTGGATGTGTTGCTGACAGCTGTCCTGCCCTTAAAAAACACACACCTGTTTTGGGTTTACTGGTTTCAAGAAGCACTGTCTGATGTGAACCATGCCTCGCAGAAAAGAGCTCTCAGAAGACCTACAATCAAGAATTGTTGACTTGCATGAAGCTGGAAAGGGTTAAAAAGTATCTCCAAAAGCCTTGATGTTCATGTGTCCACGGTAAGACAGACTGTCTACAAATGGAGAAAGTTTAGCACTGTTGCTACTCTCCCTAGGCGTGGTCGTCCTGTAAAAATGACTGCAAGAGCACAGCGCAGAATGCGCTGCATGAGGTAAAGAAGAATCCCAGAGTGTCAGCTAAAGACCTACAGAAATCTCTGGCACATGCTAACATTTTTGTTGACACATCTACAATAAGGAAAACATAAAAACAAGAATGGAGCACATGGGAGGACACCACGGAGGAAGCCATTGCTGTCCAAAAAGAAGATTGCAGCACGTTTGAAGTTTGCAAAAGAGCACCTGGATGTTCCACAGCACTACTGGCAAAATATACTGTTGACAGATAAAACCAAGATTGAGTTGTTTGGGAAGAACACACAACACTATGTTTGGAGAAAAAAAAGGCACAGCACACCAACATCAAAACCTCATCCCCACTGTAAAACATGGCGGAGGGAGCATCATGGTTTGGGGCTGCTTTGCTGCCTCAGGGCCTGAACGGATTGTTGTCATTGATGGGAAAATGAATTCCAGAGTTTATCAAGACATTTTGCAGGAAAACGTACGACCATCTGTCCGCCAACTGAAGCTCCGCAGAGGATGGGTGATGCAACAGGACAATGACCCAAAGCATACAAGTAATTCAACAAAAACAATGGCTG